AAAACATGAGTATTTAGTTCCAGAGATCGCAACAACACGATTCGCATCCTAACAACATGCAAATGTAATAAATCAGTCCTGACCGCTCGATCTCTTGAGATGCGCCTGCGCATTCAATTGTGTCTCACGCGCATCTGTCACCAGTACTAGCGCAACTAAATATAGATCTAAATGTAGGACAAACTGTATTGTTGCTAACTAATACGAAACTAGACTGATTGGTTGGGTTTATTTTTGGAGTTGCATGCAATTTTTTGTTTAGTTTAAAATAGCACAATTTTTGGTAATTGCCACTCAAGTCTGTATTGTTAGAGACGTTTTTGTTAGGTCATTCGCATTTGATGTGCTGGTTATATGGTCTGTTAGGTTGACTACAATTAATTGAAATGTTTTGAGAATGACATTCTGAAATTCCTTTTCTTATCCTCCGTTTCTAGAATAATGAACAACTAGCTGCTCTCGCGCGGTTTTCAGCCGCTGCTCAGCTTCACTTGATCGTAGCGTAATGTTATAGCCTATAGCACTCGAGAACATTGTAGCTATCTATCAGTGAAAGTATTTTGGCAATCCGTCCAGCGGTTTCAAAGATTACCCAAAATACAAACTTACAAATTTTACATCTTTATAATATTAGTATACATAATCTTAACAAAAATAATTGTATATGTTGCAGCCAATTGATTAAAATGGCCCTTTGATCGCAGTACAATTTGAGTGGCTGTTTATTTGCAATGGCAATTCGATTTCTGTGCGGTTCATAGTTCTGACCTAACCTAACCTCCCATTCTGGTAGCAACCAGGTTTTCATGATAATATGATTACCCTTCAAATTAAGGTACGAATGAGAAATTTTGCCATTTTATCAAACTACTACAGACCTTATATCACAATAGTAACTAAATTATAAGGTAAGCCCCACAAAACCGTTGTAATGGTTTGACTGTGGGGTCAATGAGCCTCTAAACAAAGCAATTAGATGCCTCTATGATTAAGTACTTTAAAGATTTCTAAATAAGTGTTATAAAAACTTAACACAATTTAAAATTATTATACATAATGTAACTTTAAGTTACGTTATTTGCTTATTCGACTATTTTGATGCTATACATAATATACAATGAAATATTTCGAATCGAGTAATTACTATACTGATAATTCGAAACTGCTCAACATTCAAATAGAAAGTCCTTCTTAATTCTAAAGATTAGGAATGCGATGACTGATCAACCGATCTAACATGATCCATTTATAAAAGATACGTACGTATCTCTCAATTTGAAGTGATAGTCGTTTCCTTTTCCAACCGGTTGTACGTACTCCTGCATCGGATATTTCGGCATTTCCTCCATCACATTCCCCCAGATCCGGCGGGAAGCCATTCCTGGGTGCCTGACAGAAGGGGAGCGTGGTATGACCTCCACTTGACATACTGGTTACTGATCTCTTAAAACTTGTGACCTGTGGCATCTTATTTGCATTTCTGTATTCTATCTTTTTAAAGGCTAATTGCTAAAATGTTTTTCATTTTTGCACTTTGATGGTCGTGCTATTTTCTATGGCATTTAGATTTTTCTCGCTTTTTTATTTATTTATATTTATTAGAACCACCAGTTGTAGTAATTACAACATTTAAATGTACAGTTAACATTTATTAAGTTTCAAGCTAGTTGTGTAACTTATTAAGGTAGCTACAGCGTACAATTAAAAGAGAGCGTTATGGACAGTGATAAATAATAAAAATTATATCTAACAAGACTTAACTATACTAAAGATAAGATACATTTTTTTACAAAATTCTCTGTTTGACAAGATAAAAACAAATTACATTAAACAAGAAGTAAATAAAAAGGAAGAGTTGGAGTCGACAAATATATTTCAGCCAACTTCTTTCGGAATTGAAAATTGCTTTGAACTGGTAGTATAGGTAAAGGCCGGTATGTTATTATATGTTGTTTTGTTAATAAGCTAACTACAGAGGTTATAGCAGATCCAATTCCTAATACTCCGAAATCTTAATCTCCAAATAATGACCGACTTCAAAGAATGGCGACCGCTTGTATTGCGGATGTCCATGCGCGGCGCCTATTGCCCAGCGGATAAAAAAGAAAAATTTCCTTATTATGAAAAAAATGATTTATAATAAGAAAAGTTAAAGGAATATTTGTAAGCATTCGATATCTCCCTTTCAATGAAAATTTATTCAGTCGTTTTCCGAGAACTGTGATACTTCAGCAAAAGCAGCCATTGCTCTTCAATTGCCTACCCACGTTATCAAAATAATGACGTGGTCAAAAGGCTGGTGAAAATCATTCGCGGAGGAAGCCGCAGAGCGTTCGCCGAACATATTATATCTGTCCTCGGGCTCAGTAGTTATTGAACATTTTGGCCAATGTTTAAACTATCGGCTATTGTCTGTCATCGCTGCCCGTTCTTGTAAACCAACCGATGTGTTAAGTGAGATATTTTGTTTTGTAAACATAGCATCGGATGTGGTATTGTCGTTGCGAGCCGAGACTCAATTGCGTGTGATTGTGAAGTGTCTACTGTCTGAACAGTGGACATTGTGGTAGGAATATTGCTGAAGAAGGTTTTGGAATATTCATTGGTTGTTTTCATGTGTGCATCTTGCTTGTTGCAATCCAAACTACTGTCTAAAAACTAAACTGTCTGTCTGTCTTTTCTTCTCACCTAAACTACTAAACCTATTTGTGTGAAATTTGGTACAAACATAGTTTGGAACTCGAGAAAGGACGTAGTTTTTCAAAGTCACGGGCAAAAGCTAGTACTAGCATAAATCTCGTATTTCCACTTAAGCTATTGTTAAAAGTTTTCTTTCTCTAACTTTCACCAGTAAAATGACATATTAAAATAAGTCTAATTTTACTTGTCACTGTATTTATTTATAATGCCTTAGTTTGTATATGCAGTTATTTATTCATGAATTATTCCTTCATTAACACGACGCTTTAGCAAGTCGACGCTTGCGCAGCCAAAACAACTGGCTACTGTCTGCTAGGGTTGTCACATTATAGATGTTTATTTAAAGTAAAACTAGGTAGCTAGCTTATTTAGCTAGATCTGTTTTGTAATGGTTTTGTGTGCCCTAGACATTTTCCAATATAGTAAAGTATATGGAATGTAGTGTGAATAGAGTGACTATTCACACTACATTCTTAATCTTTATTAGTTTTCATCATTGTTTTTTGTACGTCTGTACTTATGTTTTTTCTGTCTCTATTTTCATGTTTTGTTCTTGAACTACATCTATTTTATGATATATTTTGTGCATTATTTTCTGGTTCAATTTTATTTAATAACTTTTGCACGATCTCAAGAATCAGTATTCTTATCTTGTTTTTCTATGAGCTCAAACCTATGATCATTTCAGTCAGCCCTTGCTACCAGTTCACATTCACTTGCTAATTAGCTGGCACCGTTACTGCACTCGCAAATTACTTGTAGGAAGTACAAATGCACAGCTTTACCGTCCTCAGGTGTTAGCACCTTACGCAATGTTTATCTGTCTATCTGTCTGTCTGTGTTTCGTGCTTTCAGCTTCCCTAGAGCTGAACGTGTTTGGGAGAGGCGTTTTTGAATTTTACCATTATATTGTCTTGGAAAAGTAAAGTATAAATTGGGATAGTATTTTTTTGGAAGCCCTCATTTAGGACTGTTTCGTTTGCTCAGAAAAAATATTCAAATATACATCTGATAATAACTCATTCATTCACCATTACATTACACTGATGATCGCACTATGATGTCAGTTCCAACCGACATTTATATTCATATTTTAATAATTAACCTAGTTATATTATGATGTTGATAAAACTATTCAGGTTTTTGTATGGCCACAAGCGTGACAGGCATCACTATGAAATCCTTATCTTTGTTAAAATTAATTTCGATATTTTAATTGTGTTCAAGGAATGAGGAATACAAATTTATACACGACACATACAAACTATTATATACATTAGCATTAGTTATTGCTCGGAAAATATATGTTGTGTCTTATAGCTACTCTCTCGATTTTACCCGCTGCTCGGCTCCATTTAATCGTAGCGTTATGTTTTATAGCCTATAGCAATCAGGAACATTGTAGCTATCTATCAGTGAAAGTAATCAAGAATTTTGGCAATCCGACCAGCGGTTCCAAAGATTACCCCCTACATACAAACTTACAAACTTACAAATTTTACCTCTTTATAATATTAGTATAGATGTATTTTTCTTATGTGATAGGACGGAACAAACGAATTCTCGGATTACCTTATGGTAAGCAATCAGAGCCGCTCATGAACATCAGCAACAACGGAGGAGCATGTCACCGACCATTTGTGGATTAGGATTTCAGAGATTTAATGATTGGGGGAGGGGAAAGATGGTGCCTCCGGTAACCTCACTCACACGGCTAAACACAACGTTGTAATTTTTTCACGTCGGTTTTCTATGAGGCCATTATGTCACTGCGATTGAGACGACCCATTATGTATTCCCATTATAAATGAGCAAGCCAAGCATGTTATAAATGTTATAGTTAGCAACAAAGTAAAAGATGATTCCGTAACAGTTGTCGGTGAACTATTTAAAGATATCCAGCTGTTAGCACCTGACAATTCGAGTAACCATGTTAAACAAATTAGAATGCACCGCGCAATGTTACTTCGGTCGTTTTCAAAATACTATGCTGCAATGCAAACCGATGATTCAATATTTCTTCAACGTTTGTGTTGTGTTGAAATCAGATTTTATTTAAGGACTATTAATGTTATAGATAGAAAGGTTGAGAATATAGTTCAACAGGTTTAAATGAAAATTTCCAAGATGATAGATTAGATAATGAATTAGCGTGTAGAATAATACTTTTTCGGCATAGAAATAATAGAATTGAAGATTAAGATTCAGATTTTAGACTGTACAATGATCCCCAAAAACATTTCTTGTTTACTTAATTTGCTAATTATATTAATATTTACCTTTTCTTCTTTCACAGGTTACCTCATCACATCAAAATGCAAGGACACGCCGTAATGAATGATATGCGGAGATGTAACAACAAAATTCATCAGATTATGGCTGACAGAGAAAGACGGGTGCGAATCAAACACCAAACTGTTATGGATACACCACCTAGTACGCCACCAAGCATACCATCTAACAATGTCCGCAGATGTCTTTTCCCCGACACCGTAAACGAAATAACAAGACAAGAATTTCGCCAAAAAGTCTTTGAAGAAATCCAAAAAGCCACAGAAAAGGATGGGAAGGAAAAATATAACTTTGATCTAGTCAATGAAGTTGCTTTAGAAGGTGATTATGAATGGTATCGAAAAGTGAATGGTCGATGGGTATACATGGAGCCAAAACCAGTTAAGGACCTTGATTCAACAAAGACTCCTCTTCGTGAAACTGATAATAAGTCATTGCCAGAGATAGGTAAAAGGAAGAGGGATGAGAAAGAAATTAATCACCAAGTAGTCAAAAAGCGGCTGCACTACGATTGAATTTGTTAAGCCATCGAAATTGTAGAAAAAAGTTGAGGTGAATAGTTTTTAGACGTTCGCTTTGATGTTCATACCGAATTTTCATTTTTGCATATTTCTTAGAGAAACAATGACATTTCCATGTAAAATTTTTTTAGTTGATAGTTGGTCAAGAAATTTTTGGAAACTTTTGGAAAACTTCGTTAAAGTATAGAAGCATTCTGGAACCTACTCATCTCAACTTAAATGTTGTTACCTTTAGAACTACATATAGAATTTTAGATCAGCAACCTACTATGTATTCATAGATTGATTCAGATTCCTTGCACTTGTTGAATTTAGTTTAAAAAAGTAAAGGTATAGAAAGGAACTTTGAAAAATAAGCATAAGATTATATTCTTTGAATGTGAATGGATGGCTTTTTGCAAGCATTTTGTTTTGAGGTAGCAATTTACATTCTGTAAAGTGGCGAAGAGCTGAATATTGAACACAATGGCGTACTATCAGGCCTTAGGGCTTTCGAAGCCGCGACGCGTCTTGTTGTTCGTCATACATCGCTCACATATTTGTGTTTGCGCGAGCGAAAACGCGGTCCGATGCGGCATTGTACGACGAACAATCCAAGCATAGAGAAACGTTCCGTGTTTCTGTTAATGAGCTCAAAGAGACGCCTGGGTCCTGTAGTAGACGAGAATGATAACAGTTCTTCGCTAGTTACACAGAATAAGAATTCTGAAAAGTTCTGAAACCAGAATTAAGCTTTTTGTACCCATGATACGCTTAAAATCGTGCCACAATTAGGCTACATGTTTATTAAGTAATTTTTATAGTTAGGTTAATTTTGAGTATTTTAAATACTTTTAATTTAAATTCGTATTATTTATGTTTTTGGCTCACCCTTTTCTTGAAAGACTGTACTGAGAGTTCTACATATAAAAATATTTTCGTTTTTTTAGTTTATTTTTTTTTATTTGTAAATATAATATTTACCACTACACGACATCACATAATGATCATGTCCAATTTCTAGGATTTTTGGCGGTAAAATTTGTTTATAAGTTTTTTTCCCACATTTTATTTTATACGCATTTTGTACCGACCTGCTATTTGGAGTCTGGTAGGGTTACCACGCATTATTAACAAGATATGTACGTACATTGTAAATTGAACTCTATCTCTCGTCACTTAGATAGCTTTCGCTTTCAAAGGAACCTTTGTTTTAGTGTTAAAAAGTTTTTTTTTTTGTAATGGACGAATGTGATCACCGATAATTTTTAATTATGTAAAAGTACTTTTGTCCTAAAAGTGATACTTGTATAGTTGTTGCGCGGATGTATTTCATATACACTTCTGATTGGCTGAAAACATGCCTATACAATATTTGGGCAATGGTATATAGCCAGAATTTTCATGTAGATATTATTCTAAAATGAAATACATTCGTTCAGCTTTAGCGTAAACTAACCTATAATGTTTAGTGGTTAATTTCTAACAAACATTTCTGAAACTAATACTCTTAAACTTTTCCTATCTTTGATCTCGGGGTTGATGACCTTTTGTACCAATTTTATGGAATTACTTCATCCGTATATATACTGAGACTGTGTTCACTTCATCCATGTAAAAGATTCGTTATTAAAAATAGCACCAAAATCTCTCTAGACGTTTTAGAGTTCGTTGCAAACAAACTAACCCGTGTATTTCTTATTGTACATTTTTTAAATCATTAATTTTAATTTCAGTGTTCCCTTCTCAATTAATAATTGAACATAATTCCCTGTTTTTAAATTTTGTATAATTATTTATTTTATTCAATTCTTAGATTGACTGAAATGTAAAATTGTGATTTCTGGGTATATTTTATCATGTAGGTATCTTCTTTCAATTAATTTATTTTTATAAATCATATTAGATTATTCTAGATATAATTCTTACGTCTTTGGTAAAATAACAAAAATAAAATTCTTCAATTAAAAAAAATATAACGTTAGTCTTTATACTGTACACTAGATTTGACATCGGTATCAAAAATACCGGTATCTGGTATCTTAGTGTCATGTGATATTTAAATAATGTTTCAACGAGAAAATGATTAATTTAAATAGTAAGCTGACATTATTATTTTATACTAATTGTTATTAATTATTAGGGTATGGACACGTGTAACATACATATACATAATAAAATATATTGAAACGTAAATTCTTATGTTGGTCCGTGACAGCAGATAGAAACTAAGTACTTAGGATACGTCACTTATTACGTTTTTATTATAACTTTCGTGAGACATTCTAAATTATTTATTATGTTTTCGGCTTACTCACGTAATAATTTGACGAGATACTCGACTAGTTTCAAGCCTGTCTGTCACTGTCAGAAGCAGCGCGACAGTCGCCGAGTCGCGTGTCGCGGAATGCTGCTCATGAATATGGGCCTCTAGCATGGCTTGAAACTAGTCGAGTATCTCGTCAAATTATTACGTGAGTAAGCCGAAAACATAATAAATAATTTAGAATGTCTCAAAATATATATATCAAAACATAATAAATAACTTACTACGTTGTGCATAAATTAGCTTTGATATGAGGCTAATGACGTCCAAGACTTATAGAAAACAGTGCAACTAAATACTTAAATGTATTTTGATATTCGTAGTACCTACCTACTATAATTACAATTCTTAGTTTTCTAATAAATAATAAATATGAAACTTCAAAAGTAAAACATTAAAAATAACAGCAGAGCGATTGACATTTGTCTATGCATTCTTAAAAAGCGGTACAAATATCAATAAAACCTTCCCGCTATTATTTTGTCCTGTCGGTAAGGACAGATGTCAAACTTTATTATGTCTTACCACGAAAATGAACAACATAGGTGGCGTTGGTAGTAGCATAATTGATATTAGAAAATAACGAAGTGTCTGTTGAAATGACGATTTTAAGACGTCTCTTAATGTAAATAAAAACGATCTGATAATCTGTCTCCTGCACTAAATTGAACGACAACTATTTCGTATTTTTTATCTCTTAAAATAATATCTTCTGATTTATTTCGTTGCGGGATCCAAGAGATTCATGTCCTTGTTACGCGCCGGACTTCAGTGTTCCGGTGTCTTCATGGTTGTATCTACAGTAGATGCTGGCTTACAGGAGTTGCGGTGATTAAGGGAGGTGTTGGCGGGTTAGTCTCAATAAAAAAAAGTTCTAATAAAAGATTTAGGGAGCCGCTGAAAACAGGTTGCTTCTAACCAGCCAATTTGAAGGTTATTGGATGACTAGCTTCTGTCACGCGGTACCACTCGCTGCTCGGTTCCTACAAATCGTAGCGCGTCGTTTTAGAGCCTAAAGCCTTTCTCGATAAATGTACTAACAAACATAAAAATTATTCAATTCGAACCAGCTTTTCTGGAGATTAGCGCATTCAAACAAACAAATAAATTCTCCAGTTTTATAATATTAGTTTAGATTGCTAGTAGACGTCATGCACCTGATATGATATGGAGTTTCTTGCTAGTTCTTCTCCATTCGAAACTACAATTTGGAACGAGCACCTAGGTTCACTGAAGAAAAGACTGACAGACTACTATTCTATTTTGACGTTTCAAAAGTACCTATTTATGGTTTAGTTGGAATAAATTATTTTGATTTGATTTGATTTGATGATGATTTATATTATGTTGTATGTTACACGTATCTCTATCCACATTTACATGTAAACTTATAAAACAGCTATATTCCAAAGTCAACGTAGGAATGCCTAGCTACACTAAGTGTTTTCTAGAAACATCTAGTTATATTATGTACTTATTTTAGACGTACCTTTAAAAGTAAAGTTTCTTTTCGAAATTTTGTACATAGCCATTGTGATTTTTGTATTTATAGTTTCTACGTATTTATTATTAAATTATTGTAATGGATTGTTTAATTAAATTAATGTCTGGTACCTTTATTGGTGTTTGTTTTTTTAAATTTATAAGGTACTTGTTTAAGAGATTTAAGTATATTGTTCCTGAAATTATTTCGTTATGGTTTATCTGAAAAATTTCCCCTCGAGGTAAGCAAGTATACTCGTACATATACCTAATACCTACTATTTTCCAGGTTTTTTTTATCAATTGTGTTATAACCCCATGATCTAAACCTACCAAAAACTGTACAATAAGTTTATGTGATTTTCAAATTATGGCTAAAATGACAATTTTTTTTTTAATCTTTATTTTATTAAAAGGGAAAATGACCAAATTTTGAAATATATATTGAAATTTAATTATTCCAAAAATAAAATAGTGAGAGCGTTATCACGAAACTGTCGAAAACTGTATAAAGAAAAATGCTATGTTAAGAATGGAAGATATACAAAATAACCCGTCAATCAGTCTGTTTCACCCGCATCGTTGGAGCCAAGTATTTGCCAATACATTCTGCAATAGACCTGGAATGATTGTAAATAACTATCAGTTTGACAAATTGCGTCGGTATTTTAGAATGGCAGCCTTGCCAATGAGACTTTTCCATTGATTTATAGCTAATCGACATTTTACTATGCTTATGAATACAATTTATTGCTTCGATAGCATTCAAACTACGAAATTGATTCGAGTAAACGAGATTTTGCCTTAAAAGATATAAAAGATCGAATTAACGTTATGTAGTTCAAATTATAGGTCCAATAAATTTGACAGGTTCTTGTGTGACCTATCATTGTAATGCCTAACCCCCTCTTAGGGTTGAGGCCTGGATCCAGCTGTGAAAGTATCTCGATACTTAATTTTTTTTTTAATGTAATACGTCGGCAAACTGGCAGACGAATTACCTGATGGTAAGCAATCAGCGCCGCCCATGGACACCCGCAACGGAGGAGTTACAAGTACGTTGCCGACCTTTTAGGGATTAGGGATTTGGAGATTTAGGGATTGAGGGAGGGGAAGGATTGGGCCTCCGGTAACCTCACTCACACGGCGAAACACAACGCTGTGGTTTTTTCACGCCGGTTTTCTGTGAGGCCGTGGTATCACTCCGGTCGAGCCGACCCATTCGTGCCGAAGCATGGCTCTCCCACACTTATTATAATGAATGGAGAAGTACCATGGAGTTGTTTCATAGAAAACAGGCGTGAAACAACTATGTAGTTACAGCGTTGTGATACGCAGAGTAAGGGAGCTTAGCTGAGGCACAAATCTCCTTCGGTACCATGTTCATTCTCGAACTAACTGATAATAATCGAAGGCAGAGCTCACTGTCATCGCAGTAGTAATCCCTCATTGAGGTGGGCTCGCTAGACATCACGACGTCCTCACCTTCACCTGACTCAGGTGCTTACCGGATACAGCAAGTGGTGTCATCACTGTGAGGACCTCCCGGAGCACATCGCAAGGGAAGGAATCCTCAGGAAAGGTATCA